GCTGGGCTTGATTTTAAGAGGTTGTTAAAGAAAAAAGTCTGTCTTTCTACAATGACAATGTTTTTTGCACAGATTTCCTTTTAGGTTTACACAGCAGATAAACCTGAAGAGTTCTGTTACAGAAGCATCAATAGCTAGTTCAGTGGTGTGAATAAATAATAGTTTAGAGAATCAAATAATCATGAAAATGTGATGGAAAATCAAGGCTCCTAAGTATGCAACTGAATTAGCTTCTGGTTTAGCAATTCTTCCACAACTCAGAAGTTATACTGAGTATCATAGAATCATAGAATCACAAGGTTGGAAAGGACTTATAAGATCATCTAGTCCAACTGTCCTCCTATCACCATTACAACCCATTAAGCTACTATGTTTAAGAGCTTCCCTACTGGCAACTGAAGAACAGTTATGTAAGAATTTTAAGAAACAAAATTGAAACAGGCCCATGGATGCAGTAGAATCTCTCTCTCTGGAGATGTTCAATCCATGGCTGGACATAGCATTCACCAACCTGCTCTATGTGGCTCTGGTTTGAGCAGGAGCCTGGAGCACAGACTCTGGGTAGAGATCCTTCAAAACTATGTGATTTTGTGTCTTTCATGCTATGACATTCAACAGTAAAAATCTATGCAGTGGTGGAAAGTTATAAGATGAAAAAATAAGTTGGCATCTGAAACCCAGCTTCCATATTCTTCTTCAGAGTGCAGATATGTTTCTGCTGTTGCTTAATAGTAGTTTACAAAAAGATAGCAGGACATTTTTTACAGTACCAAGGTTGTACTACCCGTGAAAGCCAGAAAAAAAAACCCAATTTTCCTTGTGAAAATTAGGGTAATGGGTCAAGTAAAGCAAAGTAAATGTCAGAGTGTTGGAGGGAGATACACTGATCCTAAGTTCATATGCCCACCTCTGCAGGAGCAGCCTTTCTGCGGGCTTTGCACTAGTCAGAATTTCTGCAGAATATGGCAAGGATATTCTCTGGAGAACAGGTCACAGTCCCTAACACTCACCTGAGATTTGTCCTGCCCAAAGTAAGTGCCAGTATCTACACCTGACATAGTTCCTCCAACCTCCTTGTTGATATAATGAGAAATGCAACCTTCTGGGAAGAAGCAAGGGGAAAGTTGAGACGAACTGGCTCTGGCTCCACAGAATTGGGTAAAAGCTACCCCAAGGCCATGCCATTACATTAAGAAATACTGCAGGCACTTGCCTTTGAAACAAGAACATATTCTAAGTAAGTGAGTGAAATGAGAAGAAATTGAAGAATTAATTAACCAAATAGAGGTGATTAAAGTAAATAAAGGAAACAATTATCATATCAAAATAAAAGACAAGGAAGATGATTAAATGAGTCTTCAAAAGACCCATGAGAAACTCATGAAAGACATAATATGCATTTACCTGGTTTTCATTCTTTCTTGATTTCATTTTCATTTTTATTCACTAACATCTGATAATTGCAAGAAACAGTTACTTTAACCATGGGCAATTTAAACCATTTTAATTTTTTTTCCAGGGCCAAGAGACAAAAGAACCTATTTATTGCCTGAGGGGATTTTTACTAAAATGAAAGCTTAATCTTTTATGTTTTTTTAAGCAAAGGCTTTTAAAAAATCATTTCTAACAATGCTGTAGGGAGAGACTTCCATGGGCATGCAAAATTGAAATTATAAATTTACAATTATAAAAAAATCAATAGTTTGGGGGATTGCATTGTCTCTGTTCTTTCTGAATGAATAGTGTTTCAAGCTTAAGAGAAAGTATTTAGCACATGAAGGAGAACGACTGTCCTTAGACTCCGTGGCGGTCAAAGCTTTTTAATAAGTATACAGCACATATGAGAGAAAGATCATTGGAATTTAATTTGCTTGGAAATATGTGAATCTTGAAGAAAGAGTTTCGTACAAATTGAACAATCACTACTGAATCACAGTGAATATTTTTCTTGTGAGCATGTTGCAATTAGAAGTCAGCAGCAGAACTTGACATGCTCAAACATCAGATACCATGCTGGTTTCTCACCTCCTGGCCTGTTTTTCTGTGTTGCCAATGCATCAAAGTTGGTCTGACCTCCATCGTTAACAGTCTGATGCACTGAAGGTTGCTAATCTTATCTATGTAAACTTAAGCTGCAAGATGAATTTGAATGGAAGTAATTAACAATAATCTGGGATTCTTATGACAGACACAGACAAAGGACAAACAAGAGCTTGCGTGGTCCCGTGTGCGGCCACGCGTTGGACTCAATGATCCTTATGAGTCCCTTCCTACACGGGCTGTTACATGATTCTGTGATTCCAGGTTTTGGTCGAAGACACATTCAAGAGAGATCTTCAGGAGGGATAGAACTACATAAGGGTAAAAATGTGGATGTGATTTATGATGTGGCTGGCACAGTTTAAGGCATATTAGAAGTACTTGCTCAAGTCCATTCCTGTTCAGAGTAGGATTTTGGCTTTAACAGCATCAAGGAAATAATTCAATTTAAGCATGTACCTTTACACTCTCCTAAATTTGGGTAGTTTTCTGAACTGAGAAATATTAATTTAATGCATTATCTGGAGAGACACAAACATTTCTTACTGGGGTTTGTGCAGGCTTTGAAATCAGACAAAATAATTTACACTTATGAAACACAACAAACTGAAGTGTTCTATTAAAAGAAAACTGGAACAAAAAAATATCTTCAAGGCCTCCAAACATTCACACTCTGAGAGGCACATTTAAATGTTTTCTGCCAACATATTTCAAATTCTAATGGAAATACTTTGAGCTACTCTGACAAGCTTTATTGAGCTAAATTCATTTCATACAGAGCAGAGAAGAGCCATTGAAAATACTGTTTAGGTTTAAAAAATACTTGATAGGGTAGAGAATGTGGAACAAGGTAAGAAAGCTCAAACTGGAAGACATTTTATCAGGGGTTGTTTTTAGGCTGGTTGTGCAATAGAAACACGGTAAGGAAGCTACTAGATACGGATTTTCTCTTTGGTATGCCAACCTGTCTATAAGACTGTCTATAGGAAGCACTGTCATTCAGAATACACCATTTCAGAGGTTAAATGTCCCAGATTTTTTTAAAATATCATATCTTTAAAGTGTGAGCCAGAATAATTAACCTCTTTGGAAAACCCTGCTACTTGCTCTAAGATGGCACCCCAAGAACTCTTATCTTGAAGAAATACCTTCCCAGCCTAAGCTTCTGCAGGCTTGGACATGGGCTAAAGTCACCCATCCATCCAGGCATTCAGGAGCCTGGGTTAGGAGGGACCAGCAGCTCAGCCAGGCTGGATAAGGAGATTGTGTTAGAGAGGGAGAGAGGAAAATGTGGACCTAAAATATGAATTTTGAGTCCTGTGCTAACATGGCAAGGCAAATATCACAACAGAAGTATGCTGCTGCCTGAGATTCTCATGCCCCACAACTGATAGGAAAGTTCACTTCTAGACCCTCTGCACTGCTATGCAGTATGTTTAGTTGTTTTAAGAGGTCTAGTGAGTGTAGCTCAAGAGATGCTGAGTATGCTTTGGGAGGACAGGCTACCCAGACATTTAACATCTAAACTGCAGGAAACAATTAATGTTGCAAGAAATGCAACATTTCTCTAAATAGGTGACATGAAGACAGTAGAGCAGAAGCACAGACACTCAGGCTACCCTTCTGCAATGTATTAAGATCCAGCTCCAGGATGGAGACAAGAGTAAGCTCAGACTTTAAAAAAAATAAATAAAAAATACAAAAAAATCAGCAAAACCAAATCATTCTTCCCTAATTTACTTCTTAAGTCTGTTGTGCCAGATTATTTTTAGGTCAAGATGAGGCTCACATAAGAAACAGCAAAAACCTACACAAACTCACTATTCAGTCAAGCTGCCTTCCATTTAACCTCTCCCCCAAATGAACAATAAAACTGTAATATAATGGTAAGTGTTGGCCAGCTTTAACACCCGGCACCACATTCGGTCCCAGTTCTATTGTGCAGTGAAGGCTGTTTTCCTTACTGATGTGCTCAAACCGTCTGCCATGAATTACTTTTTCATGGGGAATAAATACACACTTAAACAAGATTAAACGCAAATGTTCTTTAGTGGTGTCTAAAATAATATGAATGTTCTTTAGAACAGCAATAAACACACTTCATGATGCAAATAATTACACCCTACAGCCTTTATCTTTACATAAGCGGCCAGATTTTCACTCAGCTACTTCACTGTAAACCCAGTATAACTACACTGAATCAGCATCTCTCTCCATGGACTTCAGGGATGCTGAAGTGTTACTAACCTCTTGATCTGCACTACCTCAGTGGCAAAGGCTTTGCAGACACGGGAAGTTCATGGATGAAAGTGTACATGTTGGCAATGGAGGCACCACTGTCTCTTAGCCTACTCCTTATTTCCCCATACAGTTTGAGGCAATTAAGTCAGATTGTGGCTCTGCACTCCTTAAGCACCTGTTATCAATTCTGATTCTCAGTTAGGACCACAAGACAGCTCCATAGAGGCTACAGCAAGAAAAAGAGAAGGAAAAAAGGAGAGAAGGACTGCATAAAAATTTATGATGGGTGAAGAAAAAAAGTGCACAATGGGCTTAGAGTCAAAGATTTGTCTCCTGGGAATTAAGAAGTACCACCTTGTTTAATCTTTCTGTAGGATGGGAAGGATTAGCTCATGTTCTGAACCCTTTCTGAGAAGTTAAAATTAGCTTAAATTTCTCATTCATCTGTAAACTTGATGTAAAGCTTTGCAAGACGGGTCTGTTAGGCTTTGATGACCCCTGAAATGTGTCTGCAATAGAGAACAAGTTCATATTGGACAGCTTGAAAAATAAGTTATTTTCTTAAAAATAACAGCAACAAAAAATGTATCCAGTTATTAAAAGGGTTTCCAGAATTTACACAAAGCACACAACTTAGCCACAGGATGGTATCAGTTTTAAATATTTTCTTCCTATTTGCTCTCATTTTTGCATCTTGAAAGCAAGCATTCTGCTCTTACCAGGACTTGTGAGGGCTCCCAGAGCACCAGTCGTTGTGGAGAGAGGATTTGCATTGGTGGTAGTAGCTGAGGTTTGGGCGGCGGCTGCTGCAGCTGCTAAAGTTGCCAAATTCTGTAATTGTAAAGCGTTCATGCCTGCGTGGAGAAGCAATAGAGTTAATTAAAAGGTGCCATAAAAAACAACAGCAACAAAACCAAAAAAACCCAATAAACTATTTTCAATGGGTGTATCTTGCCATGAGATTCAGTTTCCTTTTCTCCCAAGACTCTTACAATCTGGGAGCCACTTAAAGCCCCCAGATAGCATCTCTCACCTTTCTGCCTTCATAGTCAGAGAATATGGCAATGGCACCAGCCTACGGTTAGGAAAATTAAATCTGGTTGGTGTCACTTTGATAAGGGAAGAGTGGAATTAGAAGTCATTTAAAATCTGTGTGAATCCCAGGAGCAATACTATTCCCTGACACAACAGGGGGTGTAATGAAGATAACTTAACATTTAAAACAGATTCAATATAGGGTCATACAATTAGGATGAATATAATTTGTTTCCCGTGTCCCATCTGAATGTATCTACTAAGACTGCACTGTGCAGTAGCCAATAGTTGTACTGATTTTCCTTTGGATAGTTCATTTCTAAAACCAGGTATGTATTAAGAGCATCAAATTAGTATCAGACTGATCAAAGCACCATCACTGAAGCGGAGACTTTCAGACCATAAGCTCTACATTGTGATAACAAGAGTACTCAGTCAGCTGTTACTTCATTATTTCAGAAGATATGGGGGAGGTACACCTGCATTTCAATGAAGATCTTCAAGGAATGCATTCGTTTAAACAGCAAAGGATTTAACTTAGATGGCAAGTTAAAAAGGAGAAACAATAAATACAAATTATGTGAAATGGAAAAAAAGATGAACAAGGAACAGCAAATGGCATTCATTTGACTTAGAGCAATTGGGAGTCTCTTCTCAGAATCCTACGGATAAGATGCAACTGTCCAAAGGAGTGATCACAAGGCAACATATTGGCATGGAAGAGATTTTTTGGATGGCAGTGTGTGTTTACCAAGTTGGTTTGGACATGAGAGATCTCCACATGTTTGAGCCCTTGGTAGAACTGAAAAAGCAGACACAGACCATAACATAGACCATAAACCATAATACTAGTTATATGATGCTTATATGAAGAGTAATACTTTCTTTTAGATCAAATGACAGAGCTGAGAAGACTACCTGAATCTTGGGGAACATTCAGAGAAGAGCACAAGTGCCTGAAAACTCATTCTTTTCTTTTCTTTTCCTTTTTTTTGAACGTTAGCTTGTCTAACAAGAGAGAGATATTACTTCTTTGTGCACACTTTGTTTCTCATACCAGGTGAACCTCATATCAGCTTGGAGAAGAAGAAGAAAAAAAGGAGTTCAAACCTAAAGCTTTGTAAGCACGTTTGAGAAGGAAAAAACGAAACAGAGAGGCATTTTTTTTTTGTGAATTTGGTCCTCAGGTACCTTTTACTTTCCTCTTTTATAAGAAATATAAGTTATACAGCCTAAAATGTCCAGCAGACATTGTTCATCTTCACAGAGCCCCTTTTTCATGCCACACTATAATGGACATTTGATAAAGCAGTGGGCTGGCTCTTCGACATGGCAGCATGGATTTCTATCACCTTCTGGTAAGTAATTCATCAGTAGGATCAGTCATAATCAGCTTATATTTCTTCTGCGGTGAGGTTTCCACTTCCAATTTTTAAACAGCACATACAGCAGGATTAAATAATAGTGAGCAAATCACACAGAACAGTACAGGAGCTTCCTCAAACCAAATCCCACATGCTTCTGGAAAATGTGGGAACCTTTCTCTAAACATCAGTATGGACATAAATAGATTCATAAGCAATTTAATACTGCTTTCTTTTTTGCATTTCATATACAGGGCTTTGTGTATGCATGCAAAGCTGAAGAAGGCTGTAGCAGCAAAGAGTGCGAGCACAGAAGGATGGGAGCTGGAAGGCAATGTACATACATTGTACAGCTCTCAAGGAAGTGGCAAAACAAGGTCAACAGAACAAACAACAGCTCTCTTGGGCCCTGCGTGTCACTGTCGTGCCTGTGTGGATGCAAAACTAATACCAGCACTGCATCATCATGAAAAGCATTATTTTATAGTGGGACATTTCCTGTGCAAGGACAAGAGGGATCCATCAAATTAAAGAAAGAGTTTCTATGCCAAAAGGAGATGAATAAACAAGTGAGGCAGTGACAGAGTTGTTTCTCCACCCAGTCTGTTTGAGCGCGGAGGTGACTAAAAGATACTGGCCACCAACCAGCTCTGCAGATGTTATGGGGTGTCAGCTATAGTGCCTTTAGGAAAAAAAGCAACCAACCTGCCTGTTGCTGTCATGAGAAGGAGCCCAAAGAGCCCCACTGCACTGAGTGCCCTGGAGTGGCTGTCAGCAGTGGCTCAGAGCACATGCAGTCCCCCAGCATGCCCTATAGCTGCTTGTGTCAGCTGTTTATCATTTAATACACAACCTCTTTAGGATCCATTTTGCTCCAACTTTCAAAAAAAATAACTCTTGTCATCACAGTTTTATGTTCCCTAGGCAGTTTATCGTCTCTCCCTTCATCGGCTTTGCCCATCAACTTGACAAGTGCGTCAATATCCCACTTGCTAACACAAAATTGGAGAAGGGAAACCAAATACTCTCAAGTTCCAAATCCAAAATGTACTTTCCTTTCAAATGGGGATTTTGATTCAATTGAACTTCAGTCAAGGTATAGTTCTGTGGGACTAATCTGCTCGGTCATTCTCTCCTTTTTCACATACTGTCTTCGCACATTTCACATCCTGCAACTTTTTTAAAACAGTCCCAAATCCCACAATGGAGCTGGACTGAAAATGAGTAAATCGCTCTCATTTGAAAGTGCTGCTCACTCAGCAAATGCACCTCTCTCTCAAGAAATGCAAATTGCTTAACGCTGAAGAGCAGCCTCACAGGCAGAGTTACACATGAAAAATGGAAGTCCCTCTGTAGGGGAAAAACATTTCTGGGCAAGGAATAAGTCTTGATCTTCATGATAGAGACAATGTTGAGAATTAAAGTGAAATGATAAAAAAAACCAAAACCATAACAGAATCACAATACAGTTTGATTCCATTTTTAATAACATGTATTTACCAACGTGCTATTAGCTTGGCAAATAAATTGCAAGGAAATTCAACTTTCATTTTGCTATTTGGCAGATTAAAAAAACAATTAAATTATGTACAAAACAGATGCAAGGTATGCCTTGCTTGAAACTTAAGATTTTTTAAAAAATTATTTATAAGGATAGGGGCATGAAAATTTAATTTAATGTTCACCTTAGGTAATTTTGTGTCTTATTGTTCACAGCAATTACCATAAATCTACATATCAATAAGCAAGAACAGATGTCAGTTGTTACAAGTGCTTGCCAATCAGGCCTGTTAAAAAGTGACAGATGGATGGTGATAGAACATTCTCATAAGGCCTATTAGCACATTCGCAGGAAATTTTTGTAGTGCTGCACAGTCACAGATGCAGTTCTGTGAAAACACGGGGAAATTTGAGAGCACAAGATTTATATTCTACAACTCCTTGCTCTGCCTCCGACACAAACTTTCATACAATGAGGCAATTTGCCTCGTTTCAGTCACCACAGCTTTTCTCCTGTGATATCTGTAAATTTGAAATTATTGGGTTATTTGTAGAGGAGGCAGCAGAATCACAAACCATTCCTGAAGTCTTCCGAGATCTCTTCAGATCTGGGTTTCCAAATATCATAGTAAAATTATATTAGGAAATAGCTTAATTTGCTTGCTGAACAAATGCTGATAAAGCACTGACCACATTTTAGTGACAAGATATGCACAGAGAATTTCAAAATCGGTGGTGATAATCAGAGTTGCGTCTGAATCACTCCTAAGCAGTTTCCAATAGCTTGACCTCTGCTGTTGCCTATCTTTCTTTGGAAATTGTATCTATCCCAATTATAAGGATTTATTCTTTTTGAATTATATTCTGACTGCAGCTTAAAAACTGTGGATTAAGGTAAAATACCTTAATCATTTCTAGGCCAAAAAGCATCCATTTCCTGGCACTGATACCAGCCATTCTGGATGCTTATGTTATGGGGGAAAGTCTTTTCAGGCTGAGTCTGAAAGTGCAGTGTTACTCTAGCAATACTTAAAGAATTGAAAGGGACAGGAGACTGTTACCTCCATTAAATCATACGTACGGTGTGCCTACCTTTAGAAAAGCTGCTTATCTCAGAAGTGCTTAAGGTATCCTGACTACTTACTGTTTGAGTTAGGAAAGCCCCTAAAACAACTTTTAAGTCCATATTGGATTCTACCCTGGTAATCACGTTATTTAAGAATACATGCTTAAATCCGACCGAAAGTTAGAACCATCAGTTGACTTGCACAGGATTTCAGCCCATTTCCAAGTTACACAATCTCTTAACGCATTCCTGGCATGAAATGTGCTTTTTTCAACTGAAAATTTCCCAGTCTTAGTTGGAGAGATCCATCTGATCTAACTTCACGAGAATTAAAATTACCCAGGCTTTTTTTACAGTCAAGGGAGAGAGTATGAATTCATTGAATTAAAGTAGGTAAGACTAACATGGTAAAATGACTTGCTGCCTAGGAATGAATCCTCTCCACTGACATTATAGGGAGTCTGGATGCCCAATTTCCAAGCTGCTGCAGGTCAGTGAGATGACTTCCAATCTCAGAGAGGCCAAGGGAATCAAAAGCCTCTCTCCCTCCTTCTGTTGTTTCTTGAAAGCCCAGCCAGATTTACAGATCTTGTATCCAGACTTGGCCAAACTCCACATCACACACTTTCACCATCTGAATAAGCACATCTCGTAAGCTGCGGAGCCTTGGTTTTCCTCTCCAGGTGCTTCTCCTTCTCCCATGAACAGGAGCTACGCGTGGATTGGCAAGAGCCACACTTCCTTCAAAATCTGGTTCTCCAAGAATGCTAAATCAAATTGTTTAATTTCTTATCTTCAAAAAAATGCAAATTGTAGGGGTTAAATTAAGGACTTTCAATGGAATTAGTGTTACAAAAGCTCAATGCTTTGAGTCCCTGAGGTCAACATTTTCAAAACTAGTAGTTATCTTTAAGAAACAGCTATCTCCCTTGAGCTGGAAAGAGTTTCTCACTGACCTTTACTTTTAATATGATATCCCTAAAGAGGTCATAGCAGGAGAAGTCCTCCTTCAGTATGGCTCTGCTGGAATGAAGCCACAAACGAGTCAGAGGATATAAAGGATCCTTGGGCCAATGCAAAAGTATAGAGCTTTTGTGCAGATGGCCCTTGGCTTCCAACTGGTCCCTCCAGATCCACTGAGCCAATACAACAATTAGAGGGAAATATTCAGAAAGCAGAATCTCACAGAGTTTCTCTCACCCATCTGCTCCTACAGACTCTGCAACAGGAGGAAATCTGGCTTGGGTTGCAAAAGAAGGGTGAAATGAATTGAAAAGGGCTCAGAATGGGCCAAAAGTTCATCCCAAAATGCAACAAAACTGTGAGAGTGTTTGGAATGCACTTGAAACAAAAGAACATACATTGAGAAAGTATAAAAAGCCCCAGCTGTAGAGGATTTAGGTGTCTGAAAAGCCAAAAGCATGGATTCTTCTCCTGCATGACTTCAGAAAGCAAAACACACTGGCTGTCTACTGAAATTAAGAGAATTCCTTTGTGTTTTTAATGAGCTCCACACATATTTATGTGCTCTGAATGGTCATATACAGGTGAAATATTTCTGCATGAGAAAATGTTTACTCCAGCCACAGCATTAATAGATGATAGAAAACCTTCATAGATAATATAATTTGGAGGCATTCAAATTTTCTGCAGTAATCCAGTAGAATATAAAAACCTCTGTGTTTACACTGTCTGTATAGTACTTCCCAGGTTCTTCTTACACAGGCAGGTTCACTTAAAAAACTGCTGGTTTTTTGATGCAATTCAGTGCCAGCCAAATTCAATACAAACATTCAAGCGACATCCATCACCTTTGAACTATACCTTCCATGCAATCTGTATATATTTGAAGAAGGAATCTTTTTTTTCCTTCTTGAAAGCTTGCTAGTGCTTATTGCAGCTTGCATTGTCTTTCTAAAATAAGACAATCAAATAATACAATGAAATTCATCCACATTATTAGCCTTCCCCAAAGACAAAGCAAAGGCTAGACATTGAAGCTTGCGAGGTATGTGAGGGAAAACAGTCTTTAAATTAGCATTACCAGATATTGTAGGAGGGAAGAAAAGCAAGGAAGTACTCACTATAAAATATACACTCAGTGATGGTACGTGCCTACATGTTTTACAAAGAGTGATAGAGCAGAGTTTGGCAAGGTAGGGCTAGCTCCTGTAATCAAGACTGGGGGATTATTATAATAGCCAAGGCAGCACTGCCAACTCTCCCAATTTTTATTTTTATTTTTATTTTTTTTAAACCAGTCTTGACATATTACACTATTTTCTTTGGTTTGGCTCCTGAAATAAAATGATTTCATGAAAATCTCATTTTTCAATAAAAATGAGAACATCTAAGCTGGGGAATTGAATGTGGAACCTTAAGGCTTGGAAAGCTAAATGGCAACCTACTGCTTGTTGCCTTTCAAATTCAAATATCACAAATTTTAGTGAGGCCAGTATCATGATTTACTTGGACATCACAAATAATTTATGAACACAGGGTAAAGGAAACATAGAACGCACAGTGGTGCCAGTGGGCTGCTACAGCAAGAACAGGATTCACTTTTGGAGCTGATTTGTTTGTTTAATGTTTGTATGCTAGTGAGTTCTTGAGACAAATCCTCATTTTTCTTTGGATCAGCTCCCTGTCTTTTAAACAAGCTCCAGTTGCCTTCAACTAAAAATGCCTATGCAAATATCCCCTCCAATAAAACCAAAGATATAAACCATAAAAGCATAAAAATTAATTTAACTACTTTGAGGCTCTGCTTGCAAAGAGAATTGCTTGTATTTAAGAAATACTATTCCTAAGGAAATATTTCTTTACATGTATATTTATATACATGTATAGCGTGTGTGCTATGTACCTTCTGGGTAGCTCAGAGACGACATGAGCTTTAGCAGTACAAGTTAATAGTTCCAGATCTGGAGGTCCTTAATTTTGGATGAGGGGGCGTCTACAATAAGCATCCCACCTTAGCAAACTGTGACTTTGTCAGGACTTCTGCGCTCAAGAGGCACTAAAGCCCTGACATATAAGTAAGAGTGAGAATTTCACAGCTTCCGTGGCTTTTGATCAAACTTTTAGTGCCTGGATTGAGTGGTAAACACACTCACTGACTTCAAAGACAAAACTCTGACCCCTCAAACGCACTGCACATGCTTGAATAAATTCTGGTGTGCAGAACTACTCAAGCATGCAGATTCTGTCTTTACTTATCCTGAGGAATGCCTAACCCTCACTATTAAATTCAGCACAAGAACCAGAACAAACATTTGACTGTAAGCACATTTTTTAGCTCAAAGAACATGCAAGCATCAATAACCTATCGTCTTAGCATCTTAGTCAGTCATGTGTAGACTTTAGTCTTCAACTTGAAATATTCTATTAATAAGCAAGCCATACACAATGTGAAAAATACATATTGGATTCATTTTTTTGCAAAATGAATGCAAATAGCTTAAGTTAAAAAACTCTGGGCCTTTATGCTGCTTTGTGGGCTGTGAGAACAAACATTAAAGAATAGCAGCAGGTGAGACCTTGCTGGAGACACTGGAGCATTTTCTATTCCTTCTATAAAACATACCATGTGAGTCTTTAGTATTGAGCGCACAGCATAACATAGCACCAAAGATAAATTCCTGGATAATTTTTGATTTCCAAGGAGAGGACATGAACTCTTGGTCCTAACAGTGAAATAACATTTAGTCTTTTGTGCTTATCAGTGGAGCTATAGCTTGGAGAGAAAATTTAATGTCACTAATTTGATCTTCAGCAATAAGGTTTAAGAGTTACGTGTTTTGGGGAAAAAAGAAGTAAATTTAGAGCAGTTTTTATAATGAATTTAAGTTAAAATTGTTTTCCAGGAGAGGCAGTCAGTCATTAAATCATCCCATATCTAAGCACATTAGCATCTAATTTTTAGTCGAGAAGGTACATCCCTCAAGTAAAAGTGATATGCTTCTACAACGTATTAGCCTCAAGACCATCTGACTTTCAGAGAATAAATCCTGGTTTGAGAGCCCATTCTAAAGTTACTTGACTAAAATTTCTAGCTTTGACACAGTTGTTTGAGACAAAGCTGAATCTACACTACCTGGGAGAAAAAGGCAACAGAAAACTTCCAAGATGCACATAATGTAATAGAGATTGCATTATTTTTCTTCAGCCTCAATTCTTTCATTTCGCAGTCTTAACCAAATATGAAAACATTAAACACAATCTCTGAGCTCAAAGCCACTTCCAAAACTGCCAAGCATAAAACTGTTACTGAATTGCTCTCTTCTGTTTATCATATTAAGATACATTTTTAGATGAAAAAAAAAAGCTAGATTGCAAGTGTAACATAATAGAACCAGCAAGCACTGCCAGCAGGTCTGAGGAAGAGAGAATAATTCAGAGATATTGTCATCTGTAGGCCAATTTATATTGTCAGACAGCAGGTTCACATTAGTCTCTGATGTCACTGCAATAATGGCATAATGTAACAATTGAGCAAAGAATACCTGTGGGGTACAGCAATGCTGTGTGGTAGATCTGTACTTGTTAAAGTATTTCAGGATTCATTCAAAGCCAAATCAGTAGAAGCAAAAGACGAGGATTAGAAGAAGAGTGAGAAAATGATTCTCAGAAAGACTTGTGAATATTTTACTCTTTGTTTCGTAATGATGAAGCAAGCACAATGTTGTATGCTATTGATTCAGTGGGTTCATGATTAAAACAAACTAATGCAGCAATTTGGGGTTTTGTGCTTCCCTTTTTTTTTTTTTTTTTTTTCCTTCTAACAAGAAAAAAAAAAGCTTTTTAACAGTCTCTCGCGGCGGGCATAATGTGCATCTGTGCTCTGATTTACTGCACATGCTGCCTTCTCCAGCATCATGTTAAGTTAGGGTATCAGCATGGTAGGTCACACAGTGGGAGCGACCTTTTGCTAATCACTACACATCAGTTACTACTGGCACGCAGCTCATTACTAAGAAGCCCTCCAACGAGCTGGCTTTCAAATATGCCCAGACTTTGATTTTTTTTCCTCTTTTATTTCTTTCTCTCTTTCTTTTTTTTTTTTTTTTTTTTTTTTTTTTTCCCCTCAGACAAAGATTATACTTTTACATAAAAGCTTCTGTTGTGTAATTTTGTCAACTAGGGTTCCAAAGTCAAAAAGGCACCCAGTTAATTTTCCATCATTATAAAAGGAGCCTGAAAATCCACACTGAAGGTAGGCCTGTAATCTTGGGTTTCATTAAAAAGGTCAGAACATTTTTACTCACCACCTATTATTAAAATGTTTGAGGACTGCCATTAATTTGATTTTTCAGGACACAGAAATCTCGCTGGAAATGAGAACGTAATCCTGCTGTTGCTTTACTGACACTTTTCATAGGGAAGGATACAGCTGCAGGGACCAAGAGCTCTCCTGCAATTTACAATTGGTTACTTTGGACAAATGGCAGGTGACTAATGCAAGACAAACTGTTTGCTCAACCTGGGAGCTCTGGGTTTAATTTCAGTTTTTGAAAGAGGGGAGAAACTGTTTCTATTGACGTTGAACCATGAGCTGTCCCCTGCCAGTACATCTGCCACATTTAATACAGAACAGCCCCCTGCCCGACAGTGTGATTATTAGAGATGCAGAATTTGATAGCTAAAGAATACAAAACATAGCTGGAATAGAATGAAATGGTTTTCAACTTACCGGCCATTTGCTGAATGCCGCTGAAGGCACCCAAGTTACTGGAGGAAGTTGCTTGCTGCAGAAGCTGCAAATTAACAACACAAAACAGCAATCTATCTGACATCAGTGTAACAAATGAAGATAAAACTAAAACGAGCGATCATTTCGCATTTGGAGTATTTATGCTTTTCTTTACATTTATGCAGTCTCTTGCTTCTGTCTATTGTTGGAATGAACATCCCTAGAGTCAATGCTGTAAATCCATATTAATGTCTAATCTCTATTAAGAAACACAGAGGCACAAGGGAAACTCAATAACATCGCTGCTTTAAAACAATTAATCAATTTATTCTTTTTAACAACCAGGTGTTAAATCTATTTAAACCAACATAGCGTGACTAATTACAACCCTCTGTAGTCTAGTAGTTACTATAACTCATCTCTGTCAATCACGGTCCATTCTCCACCACCCTCTTGAATTCAGTTTTTTCTTTATTACCTATATGAATCAAGCACACAGATACTCATTAGACTGGTATTTGTATACAGCAATTTAGCCCACCTCAGTATTAATTAGCCTACCTCAATACCGATATATATATTTAATTGCCAGGTAAATTGCTGTTTATCATTATATCACTATACCAACACATTGTATGCATACAAATTATGCACTTATGCGTATACAGTACAGATACGGACGCATCTATTTGTCTAGTTCAGAACCATCAGGAGCTCCCCAAATTATCGGAAGCTGCCCAACCTGTACACTCAGCTCCAGAGCCATAAGAAGCAGAAAACCCTTCCAGCCATGCTGCAAGGTAGACTTGGCAATCCAAGACCTAAGACACACAGCTGTGTATTTCAGCTTTCTCCATCAGGGGCAGCAGCTAGCACTTGTTTTTCCTCTTACATATAGATCAAAGAAAATATCATTTTAAATTTATGAGAGACAAATTGCTTTCCTCTGCCACCTTCCCTTCTGTAAAAGATAGTATGAATCACGTGTGTTTAGCATTGATGGGACCATGCATTAAAGTAAAAGTAATTTCCAGATGAAAATATGTAAAATTAGAGCACTGAACCACAACATCCTAGTTTAGAAGCTGCACCATACAGATACAGACTGTACAGTGTTGTGTTCAGATACCTATCTGTCTTCCCCTAAGGAATAACTTAAATTTTATTCCTGCAACGAATAACAGAACGTAATGTTCAAAAGAACAATGAAACTAATGGAGTAAAATTTTATTTTGCAGCACGAGTAAACTTTAAATGCTTCTTGCCTTGGACACCAGCAATGCATTGAAATGTTTATTCAAGTTTTATTCTTTGCTATTTATTTTTAAATCATGCAATAAACATGCAAAGTTTTTTTTAATGTAGAAGTAGACATACTATATGTCCTGCAGAATTTACTATTCCATTGAAGGAAGTTTACTGTTGCTAATTTTCATGGGTCTAAAATAAATACAGCATGCTATAGGTGCACCACCTCTGATGTGAACTTACAGCTAGATACTGTGGTGTGAGTCCTCCAAGACCCGTGAGGTTTCCCCAAGTGGCAGTATTGAGCTGTTGCATCTGCTGTGCCAACTGCTGCTGCAAACGCCGCTGCTCTTTGTCCTTTTGGGTATCAGCAAACTTCACCACGATTGGCGAAGAGCAGCCCTGTGGTTAGACAGATCGGGAAAAAGAAGTGTTAAATCACACTGAGCCAACCCTGAACCATGAGCTCAGCCACATCCCTTAGGGACATTGGCAATGGCACAACCTGATAGCTTTCCTTTCTTTGTGACTGATGTGTAGGACCACGAGGACTAAGATTTTCAGCTTCTCAGGAAAAGAGGCTGTAGAGAAATTATCAATTCCCTATTTCTTTTTATAAAGCACCTTTCCTCAGGCTCTCTTTTCCTTCCAGCTATCAAAACTGCTGCCAGAGACAGCAAGTGTACCAGTCCTCTTTAATTAAGCTTCACAGCTGATGAGATGGACATGTTGCTTTGTCTGCAGTCTGTTTTCAAGGCATCGCCAAAGGGAGAGGTGTCCAACCTCCCTGCTGCCAATGACCACACAGCCAACACAGCCCTGCCACACGGGCTCCCTGTGCTTGGTGCAGCTGTCTTGTCTATCCTAAATAAATAGGCCTGAGAGCACCAGATTTACTGCAACACTCATCAGCAATGGGTCACTGGTTCCTTCCATATCAAGAACTTTGGATGAACACCAAGGGCCATGCTATGAGAACAACTCACCCACTTGCAGCTTGCTCCTGGGCACACTTTGTGTTGAGCACCCTTGAGGTGTGAACAGAAGGCAGGATGTGGACCAAAACTGACTACTTCTGGTGGGAGCAGCCCATTCCTGATTCACACCACTCTTACAGGTTTTATTCTATTTTCCTATTGTTTCAATGAGCCTCTTGTTATATGGTATGGGAAAGCTGCAAGACCCCATAGGAAACAGACAGTAGGAAAGAATTCAAGATCCGGTCTGCAGCCTGCTCCTCACCCATCTCAGGGATCCTTGAGAAGCTGTGGACTGGGTGGGCTGTTGAGGGACCTAAGAATTTCCCTTGGACATCAGGTTGGATATTCCTGGGCGAAGTCATTGAGAGAACAAGAAGTGAATATGAAAAATGTCCCTGTTGCTCTCACCCTATTTTTTTTATCCCCACTATCAAATGTTTTCATATTTTAACCTTTTTAGGCTTCATTTTTCAAATCAAGAGAACAAACTATGTACTGCAGTGATTCAGTTCTTAATTCAGGCATTTTGTGAGTCATGGTAGCTGCCAATCCATTCCTTACTGTTTTCCAACTACAGGAACCAATGAATAACTTCCCTCTACCTGCCATGCATTATTATACTAATTTTGTGCCTAACTTCAATTTGAACATAATGGTAGGAGTGAAAGATGACTCAAGTCCAAAAAAGAGAGCCAACATGTGCAGTGTGGGATGGGGAGGCTGGTTATACTTAGCCTAACTGTTCTCATGACTGCTCTCACAACATTGTGAACATCTTTAGCGAAGTTTATTTCCTCTACAATCTACAGAGAACAGTTGAGTACCTTTTCTCTGAAGAACCTCACACCAGTACAAATGCTAAGAACATTCAAAATCAACAGACAAAATGATGAAATAAACCGCAATAATAATATCTCTTGTATGAAGATCTCCCATCAATACTTTTCCTTTAGAATTATCTTAGAAAATCATCACTTGTGATTTATTATTCCACCTCCAATTCCTTCCCTGTGTGTTTCATTGTAAAACTGTCTTTCAGTGTTTCAGCAAGAAAAAAGGAGATATGTACCACTCTAGCAATCAAATAAAGATTATGAAAGAGTCAGCTTGTTACAAAATTACATCTCTTCAGTGATTTTTATACTAGTATTAAAGACAAGGTCCTATAATAAAAAAAAAAGGAGCTGGGGGTGGGAGGGTGTGAAAGAAATTTTTCTGCTTCAACTAATAAAAAAGCAAGCTGTACCGTATTTAATATGAGCTTTGGTAGCACTGGGCTAATCAAAACCAGAACTTACTGACTGCTACCTAGATGTACAGGAGAATCAAATCTACTTCCAAAGAAACCAGAACTGAATTTTAAAGGAAGAAATATTCTATGGCTATTTCAGTTCTCAGTTCAGCAGCTCAGCACTCGACACTACAGCTGACATATTTATGAATGCTTAAATGTCAGTAAATTGTATAAAAACAATATCTCTGCAATTTATGAGTCTATAATTCATTTTTTCACTGTCTGCTCTATATTTCATCACTTCATCATTTTCAAGAGAGCAAACATTCTGAAGACTGAAATTATATGTAGCAAGTGGCTCTATATGAGAAAAGGGTTGTTATTGTTGCATCAAATTTACTCCATGATAACAAATTAGTGTCTTCTACTGGTACTGCATTTCAATGCCTTAAACAAACAAACAAAACCCCCGGAAATGAGATAGAAGAATAGAAACTCAGAGCAGCAGTTATGTACTGAAGATCAGTTGATTTAACCAGGTCAGAAAGTCAGATGCAAAAAGTAGTAAAAGAACTCATTATTTTAAGAGATATATTCCTCTGGATATTAACATCCCTACTGTTCTTTCTTTACCCACTTTGAAAATACATGTTGGTAAATAATGTGTGACAAGGAAGCAAAAATAATGAAATCAGAAAAAAAATCTGCAGTAATTGAGTTGATGTGACTGTGTAATACATATTCTCCCCAAAGCCCATCTATTTTTTTGCATTCAGTGTGAAACAAATGCATCCAAGGATCACTGTTTCAGGCTGAGAGGCCAAGATTTAACGCTAGGTAATGTCAGTTAGCTTTCTAGTAGAAGAGCATTGGCTTGCATCACACACACAAGGTGCATCTCCCTTTCTCATTCAGTGGCTCAGCATTTGCACCCCATTCTAGTGCAATTTTACTCCTGACAGCTGGTGCTGCCTTCATATTTTTCTTTTTGTTGGGAATACAGTATACAGACTCTGTTCAGCCCATCACCTCTGGAGTTGGAGGGTGTACTGCTTCTCTCCAGGAAGGGACTCCAGCCTAAGCTCAACTGGCACAAAGACCCAGATGTTCAAAGTGCAAAATACTTGGAACTGCCTTGCCTTGCCAGTTTGGGGTTCTCATTGATAACTCTAAAGATATTGAGATCAAAGTATAATCATTCTATAGAACTGAAGTAAGCAGGAGCATTATAAAAAATGCAGCCTCAGTTGGAGCACTGCAATTAACAGAAGAATGGATGAATTTGTCTGGGATGTATGTCTTTAATGTTACCATCTTCTGAGGTAGACCTGCGTAAAATTCATCTTGCTAGACAGAAAAATACATTAAAACATATGGAAAAATATAGGTAAAACACAATATTACCAATAAACATTTTCTTTTTACATGGAATCAAACCCAGCAAAATATATAGATCTGAATTAATGGAGCAGTGCATGGCAGACAAATTACTATGAGTATTATTTCAAAAACTCAAAGTGGCAGTTTTTCCACAATATACTGTCAGACTGCATATATCATAGGTTTTCTAGTAAAGATAATTTCAAATATTCTTGTCTCATTGGAAGATTCTCATCTAAAACTACATATTTAGGGTTTAAAAATGCATTGCACTGAAAAGAAAAACACATCAATTATAAAATAAGCTCAACCAAATTCAAACGTGATGCTTGGAGAGACAATAGCTTTGCAATGCCAGTATCGTTACTTGTAGTACACAGGAAACAGTTAGTGACATTTTCATGCACTGCCTTTTTTTTCCTTTGCCTTCTTGTCCTCTCTCCACTCTCCCACCCCTGCTCTTCCCCCCCTGGCTCGTTACACAAAGCAGCTAACGACATGACGCAATAATGATTGTTTAGCACCCCGCATGCTTTGGGAGACTAGAGCATTGCAAAGAAAAATCACTGAGAGAAATCGAAAGGTCCTGGTGTAAAAATAAATAAAAAGAAACAAGTGCACATAACATCAATGCCACCTATGAGAAAAAATCATCACTACACGAAGATACAGTATACGTAATACAGTATAACATGCACTCTCCAATGATAAGCTAGAAGATCCAGAGTAAGTAAAGACTTAATACTTGTGCGGTTTTTTGTGCAAAATTCTGAAAGACCATGACAAAAATCACAGACTGACAAAAGTTTGAGATTGCCAGACAAGCCGTGGCACTTGATCACCACTCCAATGACCGGATCGTTAGTCTGCTGCTGGATTCACGTTAAGTGAAAGGGTTTCAAGTTTCGTGTTGCTCATTGTTACAAAATATGAGGCCGTAGAGGCAATGTGGGAGGAGATAGAACTTGAGAGGGGCCAGGCACAGTGGTGCTCTGTAGGAAGCTTCGATATGCTCCTTCATCATTAGCGTTTTTATCGCTATCTTGAAGAAAGAGAAATTGTATTAGCTTAAAAAGAGATTCCATTTGCAGGAAAACACATGCACTAGTAACTCAGGGTGGCCACATTAAATCTCTTGAGGTTTTTCTCAGAGCAGCACAAACCAGAACACTTAAACATCTATTTCAAGGAAACTAAGATTTTTTTGGGGGGGAGGTGTTAATATTAAAAGCAATTTACTCATTAGGTATACTCTTGAGTATGAGTGAAGAGTGGTATTCACAGCAATTTTATTTTCTGTGAATGCCACTGAGAACAGGATACAGAGCTGTGTTTGGATACTGCAACCTGATTGTGTGCTTCCAGGCCGTTAAGAAAAACATGTTTGACAAGGAGAGGTAGCGTGAGTTGGCAAAAAGTTTAAATCTGTGATTGTCATGTGTCTGATCTGGTCCAGGAGAGCATGGCTTTACCATTCGCAATCATTTGCACAAAGAAAACAAAGAAAGGGCAAATGATACAGTACTGTACCTCCATGGTCTGAGACTGGTGCATGGCTTTGATTGCATTCTGTGCCATTGCCCTTGTAGAAAATGTGACAAACGCACAGCCTGTGGGAACAAGGGGACAGGGAGCAGGAAAGACAAAAAACAACAAGACAAAAGGGTTGGACGCTTGTTAAACCAACACAGTCTACGAGAACGGCCACAAGACGACACTGTTCTCAGTAGTACATAAAAATAAACAACTTCTCTAGTTTATTTATCGACAGTGCTGACTTGCTAATCTGACCATAGATGAAAGAAAAAAAAATTAGGTGTGATGGGTGAGGATAAAAGGGTTTCTTTCTTTAATTTAGTTTTTTTTGTTGTTGTTTTGTTTGGTTTGGTTTGGTTTGTTTGGTTTTGTTTTTTAGCCACAGGGTTTGACATACTTAAGGCTTTCTTATGCAGAGTTTGGATTGCATAGTTGAGTCCATTCGGGCCATAACTGCTTGCTATGGCTTTTGTGTCGGTAAATATTGGACAGTGAATAAACAACTGGCATCACTGGCAGCTGAGCTGAGAATTTAAAGGAGTCCATAATGTCACATATTTCCGTGATGCACCAAGAACAACCGTACAAGTAAAGATGAGAAAAACTTGACTGCAAACTTTGCAACTAATTGCAAAAAGACTCAGACAAAATTCAGTAAGGTAGGTGGAATCTCAACATTTAAGAAAATAACATATTAAGAATAAAAGTCTTTATGATTTTTGCTTCTCACAGTCCTAGGTACAAGTATAATTCTTTGATCTATGAAAGCTACCAAGAGCTTGAACAATTCAAAAGCTGTGTGCATGAATAACTAAAAAATCACTTTTCTCCCTCTATAGCCTTTTAAATCATAATGAAAGCCAGTAGGCGAATGCCTGGGCTATTTTTCCACTCTTTTACTATTGTCAGTCATACCTATACTGGGCATGGTACGGGTCAACTTTCTTAGTGCATGACTCACTGTCCTTTTGACTAATAAAAACACTGCCTTCTGAGATTTACATTTTATTCTTCATGCACCCTTGGGCATCTTAAAGAAAAAGACTGTGAAATTAATGCAGATTCGGGCTGATTTTGTAATAATACCATGGCACACTAAAAGCTTAGCTAAAGCAACACAGACTTATTTCACTTGTGATCTCTAATGACTTTAAAAGTGCATTGATTTTCAGCTCCCTTAGCCTTGCACAGTTTGAACTTAGGTTTCAGAGAATAATTTAGTGTTCCACTCAATTTCCTCAAAACATTATTATTATTACTACTTAAAAGATTTCCAAATGAAGCAAATCTAAGCACTGAGAGGCTAAAGCATATTGTCGTTTTAGAGCTAATACATGAAAGCTACATTCTGGCATCAAAAATAACAATGTTGTTGCCCCTGTGGCCAATGGGCAAAATTAACTACTTTGCAATCCAACAAGCAACAGATTGTTTGGTTTATGCAAATCAATTTGAGGCACAAAATACCTTTTCTTTTTCGCACCGTGCACCTGGTGAGATTATCAAGTCAAGACTGTATTCACATTTTAATCAAACAACAGTAAGAGAAAGCAATGCCTGATCATTACCCAAAAGCACTACATCTAGTCATGAAAATAAAGTCAATGCATTTTTGCATCATGCGGTACTTTTTTTTTTATTAATGTAAAAGCCCTTGGTACAGGACAACCTAAACTGGCTTATGTACCTCTGGCTGATAGGTCAGTGTTTTAAAATCAGAAGGATTCTTTTTAACGCAAACTTCATGGCAATGTCATGACTCTACTGATGATGTCTTACAGCTGTTTAGACACAACTACTATACTACCATTATTCAGCAACAAAGTCCTGTCAAAGAAAATGATGTAATGAATGGCTTTCTGTACAGCATTCTAGACCAAATGTGCGTAGAAGGGTAAATAAATTACAGTACCTCTGCTAGCTTCCATAATGCTGCTGTGCACTAAAATGAAAGAGGCCCAAATTTACCATTGAAGTAATCTCTCCAACAAAAACATTTCTGTTATTATCATTAAAAGAGGAAATATCACCAAGGGTTTGCATTTCTTGTCTTGCAAATTCAAAGGGGGGTGAGTACAAATAGAGATATACCGGAGGACAGGCAAGAAACCCCATACAGCCTTGAGTAATATTGTTTATAACGGTCAAGAAACTACTTCATTCACTTCTCTTGCTCTCATTATCCAGGAGTGTGTAGCACAGTGACAATTACTGAACTGGAGGCTAAGAATGCATAAGAAGCATGTAAAATGTCAACAAAAATCAATAAGACACAGTTTATGCATTTATCACAATTTCTACCCAGCGGAACTGCTGTAAGTAACTTACTGAGAGATGTTGCAATTAGCAGGTCTCAAAAGAAATGTGAATCAGCAGAGAAATAAAGCTGTACTCTTCTCAAGATAAAGGAGACTTGCTCCTCCTTCCCTTAAGCTTTTTCTCTTTTTAAGCACAAAGCTCAGCTGCTGGGGACTTTCAGTGCCCAATGCTATGGCAAAACCTCCTTCCTCATCGCCCAGCCCAAATTCATTTGCTTAGATCCTGTTTTCCTTTGTTGTGGAGTGAAAAGACTTGTCGCTGATCTCTGCAAAGTGCTGCATAGCAAGCTACCTAGTTAAAAGAAACTTGTTCTCTTGGCAAGGGGAATGCTTGATAAACGAGGTTATGCAGCTTGAATACAAGCATTTGGAAACAGCATTTTATGGAGAAGATGGGACTGCATTTTAATTACAGTTTGCCAGCCAAAGGCTACAAGGTTAGGTTCCCTTGTTATCTCTGGTCAGCAGGGTGTTTTCCACCAATGGATAGTGGCCATTTGCACAGTAAATACCCAATTTGCTTCAATAATCATGGTAAAAATTAAGTAGACAACTTCATTTCTAAATCATCTGATAACCTAGACTTTCAGTTATTACCATCAAGCATCCCAATTAGATGCTAGCTAATTAAGTCATATTTCCAGACATTGTTCCAGACTAAAACGCTATGCGTATCCACATTTAAAGGTTGTGGCTTTTTTTCCAGGTACCAAACCTGGACAATCACATGCAATATTTGTACATATTTTGTGTGCACATATATATTATTGTGTGGGAAACATGGGATCCTATATATTTTATTGTCCATGAAAAATGGAACCCCTTCCTTCTACATGATCAGAGTGCCAGAATGGAGAGAAGCTAAGCCTGCATAACGGAATTCAATCCACTTCATTGCTAGATTTGCACATACTGAGCTACTGAGAAAAGCTGTTCTTGGATGCTTGTATTCTGTGCCTCCATTAATTTTTCTATATGGGGAACACAGGCATTTTACAAGGATATTTTTATTGAATTTCATCTGAAGTTGGTATTTAAGCACCCTTTATTTCACTTGTTTCAGCTACATGAGCTCTGGCAGCCCTGAACTATCCCATACTCATCCTTGTATCTAAGGGGCTGGTAAAACATTCCCTTTTCAGCATACTTCACTCTGTATCTCATGGATACAGGTGGTCTCTTGGGAAAACGTCAGCAGCTTTAGGACTGTAGATCACAATTGTAACAGGACAAGTCTAATCAGATTTCATGCCTCATGGTGCAAGGAAACAAGAAAGATTTCCATGGCCTCTTACCTCATCACCTGAAGCACTGCATTAACTGTAATGCCATAGGCCAAGCTCTCCTGCATCAATGGCTACAAGCAAACTATTTCTGTTCTACCATACCAAGTCATGATACTTCAATTTCTTCCTTCTGGAGCTACAAAGCTCAGACTGAGAGCAAAAGCACAGAGAGGGGATATTTCTACAGCTAACGCTTTGAAATTACTTTTGTTTTGTGAAAAAGATCCCTCTGTAAATACAGCCAACCTAAAAGTCACGTTCCAATTATTTATGACCTCTGGTTTCAAAATGTCAGGGATCACTAACTGAAGCAAAAGGGATGGAGAAAGGAGGGCTAGGAGCTTTAGTTGTATCTCCAAGGCTGTGTTCTCACCCCGTACAACAGATAAGTGGTTGACTAGGGACAGGTTTCTTCAAGTAATTTTCTCCTTTCAGGCAGAATTGGAAGGAGGCACCCAGCCCCATCACAGAGCAAACTTTGGAGTGCATTACTGCATCTGCCATCACAGCTAAAGCAACATCCAGACACACTGGGCTGGTCTTCTTTTACCCCTAGAGCTAAAGAGAATTTTGAAAAGGCTGCAAAATTAGAGAAGCTTCCTTCTTGAACCATGCTACTGCATTAACTAGGGCTTGATGCTTGAGTGACTGAATTATCAGAAATATTTTACAATGCCCAGTACTGCCCCATTTTAGCTCCTGCTTCACTTGGTTCTTCATCTTCATCTCGGGCTTTCATAGACTGTTTTGAAATGTTTGCCTGCTCATGTACATAGTAACATAACATCAATAGTAGAGAGCTGCCAGTGAAGTAGAACATTTTAAAGAATGTAGGCCTCAAGGTAAGGGGTCTGATTTCATACCTGCACAAGAAATCTGCCAGATAAAGCTGCCAGTGTCTACCAGAGTTTTTAAAACAATTTGGAATCAGGCCAAGAGTTAAAAATGGAGGTTTAAAAAACATGGCATTAGAATTCTGGAGATGAAAGAAAGGCAGAAACAATCAATTAAAAAAACCATATTTTATATATATACATATATGGTGACCCCTCTGATACAGAAGAAGGCTCAGGAGATTTTCAAAGCCATCCAAGCAACTGCAGCCTGATGCATGGAGGCTGCACAGCTGGTGGTGTAATGGTTTTGCTACAACTTCTGAGTTACCATAAATGAGATTTTTCTTCACTTTCTGCAAAGAAACAATAGTGAAAAGCTGCCAAAATACTCTTGCAAGAAGCATTTTGGATCCTCTGTGTTGGAAGTTGCTGTTTAAAGAAAAGATAAGGTTCAAGTAAAAGGCTATGGAAATCAAGCGTGATAAAAATAAGTTCTAGTTGGGCTAAAATATTTGTAGCTGAGACTGCAAAGTAGACGTTCCCTTTTCTACACTGATATTACAGCACAGCCTGTTGGAAGGACCAGTGTGGCAGACAGCCTTCTACTGATACAAACCACACAAAAATCTCTGTG